AGCTTGCATTAACCCTTATTGATGAGTTGGATTACGAAATCGCTAAGATTTACTTCTGGGTAGATTCAATGGTAGTACTACACTGGATTCATCAACCCAGTAATAAATACCGAGATTACGTAGCACATCGCATTGTGGCTGTACAAGAAGACTTYAAAGCACTACGAGACAACCAAAGAGAGATCGATGTCAGATACGTACCTACAGCTGTTAACATCGCCGACGCTGGCACTCGAGGACTAGCTCTAGCTGAGATGACAAAGGATAGTACGTGGCAAAATGGACCGCACTTCCTATCGCAACCTGAAGAATACTGGCCGAAGAAGTGGGATCAGAACGAGGAAATTATAGACGAGGAACTACGGAAGACAGTGCACATCAAAGCTACTGATGTCAAGAGAAGTGTATTCGACCTGACGCGCTACTCAACTCTCTCCAAAGCCATACGTATAACAGCGTATATACTGAAGTTTATCAACAGATGCAAACTTAGACATCAGACAACGAAGACTACTGTATCTAAAGAAAAGACAGCCSAAGTAGAAGGTCAAATTCTGACAGTCAACGAGCTTCATGAAGCGGAACAACTACTCATAAAGTTATCACAAGCAGAGTCATTCGCAGAAGAGGTGAAAGCTCTTAAGACATCCAATGAATTACCAAAAAGATCCAAACTGAAACAGATGTCTCCAAYCATAGATCAAGACGGACTTCTGAGAGTCGGAGGAAGAATAAACGAAGYGCCAATCGACTACGACGCAAGACACCCTGTCATAATCGATGGAAGAKCAGAGATTGGAAGACTAATCGTTGCTGAGTATCATCAAAGATTAGCCCATGGGCCAATAGAGTATGTCCTTAGCTCTATCAGATTGAAGTTTTGGCTAGTTCATGGACGACCAGTGATCAAGAAATACACAAGAGAATGTCTATACTGCAAACAGCAGCGAGCGAAGCCTAACCCGCCATTCATGGGATCGTTACCAGCACGTCGTTTAACTCCATTCTTACCTCCATTTACACATACCATTGTTGATCTGTTTGGTCCTGTATACGTTAAAGAAAGACGAAATGAAGTAAAGAAGTGGGTAGTACTCTTTTGCTGTGCTAATTTACGAGCCATTCATCTAGAGATTGCAGAGTCCCTATCAACCGATGCATTTCTCAACTGTTTTTCGAGGTTTAGCAATCGTCGAGGATATCCAAGAACTGTCACATCTGACAATGGTACAAACCTTGTTGGTGCAAATAAAGAACTAAGAGAAGGTTGGAATAACTTGAAGAAGGAAAAGGGACTTCAAGATCTCAGCAGTCACGGAATAGAATGGAAGTTTATTCCACCAAGCTCACCGCACATGAATGGAGCAGCGGAAAGACTCGTCAGATCCTGCAAGAGAGCCTTACATGCTATACTTC